ATAGGCTTGAGCCAGGATATCTGGACTGCAAAGTATTTTAAAGTAGCAAGTAAAACATTTAATAAATGGAGTTTGGACAATGAACTTTCCATTGGAAAGAAATAAAGTTAAATCCTACTTCATACTATACATTTAAAAATCCAGATGCATTAACAATCTAATGTAAATATGAAAATCATACAAACAAATAGAAAAAATGTAGGAAACATTTTTATGATTATGGAGTAGAAGAAGGCATTTTTAAACATGACATCAAATGCAGAAGCCATAAATGAATATATTGACAGATTTGACTAAATAAAAATTGTAAATTTCTTTAGAGCAAAATATAACGTGAACAAAGTTAAAAGATATAACATAGCCTGGAAGAAAGTGTTGAAACATATGTAACAGATAAAGGGTTAATATTCACAATATATAAGGAGCTCCTCTAAATAAATAATAAGATGATTTCACAGAAAAATCAGCAAATGACACAAGCAATTCACAGGTAAAATATAAATGGCCAAGAAACAAGTGAAAAGATTTTCAACTTCATTAAAAATCAAGAAAATGCAAATTAATTCAGGGGCCAAGGGTCTCAGGGAGGCCCTGATGGGATGCCCAGGAGAGACCGTAGTTGTCGCCTCCCACAGTGAGGCTGCTTCTGGCAGATGAGATGAACTTCTTTCTCTTCCAAGTCAGGATCCACCTCTGCCCCAGGAATGGGTGCGGGCTCTGGCTCTGGCTCCCTCTTTCCTTTGGGAAGCATGACTTCCTCATTGCATGCAGTCTGGGAGTTGAAACAGGAACCTTGGGATTGCCACAGACCTTGGACTGAAAGGGGATTTGTGAGGTGTTTCTCCTCTGTCTCTATATAGGACCATCCTGTCCTTCTCTCACCATGCCAGCCCTTCAGAATTCTCTCCTAGGCCCAGAAAGTCTGTCCTGGTGTCTAAGCCTCAACTCCAGCTACTGCAGTATTGGGAAAGGACTTCTGTCTGGAGTTTTGGTCCCACACTCCAGCACCCTCATTTCAGGTCTTCAGGTGGAGCTGAGCTGGGCTCTGGCCTGGAGGAGCTGCAGCTAGGTGCTTAGACAGGCTGGGGCCAGAGGAGGCTCTGTCCGTCTGATGACTGGAGGTTAGAAGCAGTTCACTGTATGCTGCTGAGCTGTGCCCAAGGCTGGGCTGCTTTGAGCCAGAAAACAGCCCTGGCTAGGGATGGAAATCCCTGGGGCCAATGTCTGCTATGCTTCAGTCTGGGGAAAGACCCTAGGGATGCTAGGAAGAAGGAACAGCATGTGCCCACCCTTGGGAGCCCCAGTATGATGGAGGAGGGGGACCCCTCCCTGAATCCTGCATCTGGATTGGCCATCTTCTGTCCGCTTCTGCTCATGCAGGTTGGACTTGCTTTTCCAAAGTCAGTTCCCAAGATTTGAGCCTGCTGCTTTCCAAGTCTCACTCCACTGGTGTGCAAGACCCTGAAGAACATCCACAGAGGAACAGGGCAAAGCTGCCATGAGGCCCTGAGGCCCAGAGACCCCACGTCAAAGAAGGGGTGGGGAGATCTGGGGTTAATTAGGGTGAGCTTCCTGGGGAAGAGCAGGCAGCTCATTGGCTGTGGCTGATGGAGAAGCACCCAGAGCTGTGAAGGGCATGTGGCGGGGCAGCTGGGCTGAGGTCTGAGCCTGTTCTGGTTGGCTGACCCCCTGGGAAATCCAGGGAGTTTCCAATCTGAGAGCTTGCGGGGGGGCCGGGGTGGAGGAACACAGTCCTGCAGGGTGGGGAGGGCCTCTCACCTCTTGTCTTAATCCCTCCTGCTGTGGAGGTGGGAGAAGCAATGCTGGGGGGTGTGTGTTTTCACTGGTGTCAGTGTCTGTGTCAGTAAGTGTGTACCTCGGCATGAGTGTGTACATATTTACGTTTGTGTTCTCACTCTCACGTGTCACCATGGGTGCGCATGAAGTCTGTGGAGCTGTAACGCGCTACTGGGTATGTCCGTACCAGAATCTGTGTCTAAGTGTGGGCATCCTCATGCAGTGAGAACACTCAGGTCTGACGTGGGGTGCAGAGGCGTCTGAGCGACTGTGTGTGTACAAGTGGCTGTGACTGTGTATGTCTGTGTGTCTTTCTGGGAGTGGTCCTGTGTGTCTTTCAGGCTGTGAGAGCCTGTAATGTTGTGCGCATGTTTGTGTGTGAATGTGTGTAACTGTGTGTACACAGGTATCCATGTCTGTGCATGTGTCTATGGGTTCTGTGGGCACCCAAGGATCTGTGACTCCGTGTACACACATCTGTGGGTCTTTCCACCCTTCAGAGCACTCTTCTGAGTCTCCGTCACACTCTTTCCAACCAGGCTGCTCTGTTCCCCTCTTCGCCTCCTCCTCTGCACACCCCCTTCCCCTTCCCTTGCCAAACCGGGGTGGAGGCTGTAGGGGCCCGCTCTCTAGGCTGGTACCCCACCAGAACTTCACCCACCCAGTTCTACCCGACCGCTGACCCAGCACTCCCTAGCTTCCTCCACCCTTCCCTCCCTCCTTCAGAAAAAGCAGCCTCCCCTCCAAGCCTGTGAGGAGACAGGAAGTCATGGCCTGTGCCCCCAAGGGGCCTAGTCTGGGGCCAAGGACCTTAACCCCTAGAGCTGCACTTTGGCTGGGGCCCCGGTCCAGGCGAACTCAGAGAGTGGTGTGGACAGCCCTGCCCCTGCCTCCACAAGCTCCCTAACAAGCTCCGCCTATCCCTGGGTCCTCTGGTTGCCGTAGAGAGCTGGTGCTGGCTGGCAGGAGGAAGGAGTAGGGAAACAGGGACACTCCCAGGACCTCAGGGGACAGGGATAGGGGAACACTCGGCTCAGAAATCTGGGCCTCTCTGCTGAGCTTAAGGTGACATTGGCCAAGACAGGTCAAGACGTTTCTCAAAGTCACGCAGCACTCCACATATGGCAATCCAGAAAGAGGCTTGGAGGGGAGCGTGTCCAGCTTCCCTCTGGGAGCAAGAAGTTCCTGTATGCTTCCCAGACATTCCTCCTTAATGCACTGTTCGCTGTGCCAGGCTCTGTGTAGGAACTGGGGACACAGCTCCAAACAGGCAGATTGTCCTCACGTTGCTTCCAGCCTCGTCGATCTTAGCAATGGGACGCTCACTACCGCAGAAGTTGTTGAGTCCCAGTACCACACAAGTTCGGCTGGTAGGAGACACCCAAAGTTCACTGCTAACTTCCTGGAAGCCATCAGTGAAGGGGTGTGGGTGCCTGTGCAGGAGGCCGCAGACCTAGTCCCAGCAGGGCCCATCTACCTGCTGCAGCCTGGAGTGTGTGTGGAGGAGCCGAGCTGCTGGGCTGCCTGTGCAAACCTGACCCAGCTGGCAGGCCCTTCCTTCAAAGACTGGCCCAGGCCATGCCGCTTTATTGCCCAGTTAATGATGGTGATTAGGCCGACAGGTGCCACCTGCTGCCTGTCCACCCTCCTGCCTGCTAAAGAGGGTGTTGTCTGAGCACCTAGGGGAGGCTTGGCCGCAGAGCCCTGCCAGGGCATCCACCACGGTCGAACTCTCGACCCTCAGGCTGGCTGCTGTCCATCTCCTTCCCGGAGAATGCAGGGCCAGCCCGGTGCTCACTTTCTGGGACTGCTGTGTGATTTCAGTCCACACCTGTCCCTCTCTGAGCCGGAGTGAAGGGGAAGTGTGCCGAGAACAGTGGGCAGGGCATGTGCACCCTGAGAAGCATGCTCTCGTTTTCCCCAGCCAGGGTCCAGAAGGAAGTAACTTGCAGATGGAGCTGGGCTGCTCCTTAGGGTGCCACCACATTGTGGGTAGGCCACTGGGGGAGCCCCACCATTCTGGGGCCGACCTGTTTCCAATGCAGGGGACTGTCGCCTGGGGCTTTGGTGGGTGGGAGGGGGTCCTCCTGTGGGTCTGAGTGGGAGCTGTGATTTATGGCTGTGCTTCATGAGTGAGGAATGCCAGCCTGGGGGGCCAGGGTGGGGCTGGAGCCACCCGCCTGACACTCCTGGCTCTCTGCGATGCCTGGCATGTCCTGTCAGGACCCCCTGTCCCCTGGGGACACCTGTGTACTCCCCCGCACAGTGCCCCCTCCTATCTGCACTCCCAACCCCCAGCTCTGGGAGGACCCAGTGAAAGCCTGGCCCAGGGGGATCCAGTATGAAATCCTTTCTGGTTTTCTCTCTTCACAGTCCAGCCCCCTTTTTCATTTGGGCATGAAGGTGATGGGAAATACCTCTTTTCTGTCCCACTGGGGCAGGACGGGATGGGGTGAGACTCTAGGAAACTTCCGTTTGGATGAATTCAAGGTGGACACGCCACTGTCCACAGTGGGAGAGACTTAGCATTAACACAAAGATGAACTTCCAGCAGGGAAGGGCTGTTTGGCCTGAAGAAGGAATGATGGATGTGGTATCATTCTTCCCCATCCCTACCCCCACCTTGCTAGATAAATGAAAACTCTGGAGTCCATGAGAGTGTGGGGTGGGGGAGTGTGGGAGGCCAGGTGGAGGCGGGGCGGGGGAGGTGGAATCATCCAAAGTTGTCTGGTCCTGGACTCTGAAGGCCATGCCAGTTTCCAGCCTGTTCCTGTGCTGCAGGATGAGGGTCCGTCCTCTGGGCACCCAGCACAGGTCAGCCTGCCTCCTCTGGCCTCGTGGGACCGGTTTTTCCAGCTGGAGGAAGGGTCCATGAGGAATTGGCAGGGGCAGAGGGTTTTATGTAAATACCCAGGGAGTGCTCTGGGAACGGGGAGGCAGGTTTTCCCAAAGACACGCAGGGACTGGCAGCTCCCAATTAGCCGGGCCCAGTGATGTCAGTGCTGCTCTCCTAGGTGGCTGCGCCCACTCTGATCGGCCTTGGCAGGGATGCCCGACCATTACCTTCCCCTCTGGGTGGGGGGGTGCCAAGGGGGCTGCATACAGGACAGAGGCCAGGCCCCCTCCCTCTGAACCCCCCAACCTGGGGTCTGAACCACATTGGGGACCAGCCCCGGAGAGCGCCGTGAAAAACCATCCCAGACTTTATTGAAAAATACTTTAATGTGGTTAATATTTGAACCTCCACCAAAACACCGGAAGGCTGGGGAGCCCTCAGTATGTTGGGCCAGTCCCAGAGGCTGTTCCCATGGCAGCTGCTGGCAGGCCCTCCTCCCAGGCCACTCCAAGCCTGAGTTCCAATAAATACAGTGCAAATAAGTCTGGTCACTAAACTGGGGAGACCAAGACCTGGGGCACCAGAGAGGACACGTTGTATTGTCTGTGAACACACACATGTGCATTATCCAGCATACACACCTAGGATCATGTGCATTGCACACAGCCCCCCCTCAGATAGCCTCACATCACACACCCCTCCCATCCATGCAGGCGCACCCATACGCGCGCGCACACACACACACACACACGCGCGCATGCACACACCTTTTCTTCTGGCACATAGGAAATTGAGCATACACACCTTCCTTACAGACACACAAGAGAAAGGCCATTGGCCTGGAGCTGGGAGCTTGGGGTGTCCCCTCCTGGCTCAGAGGAGTGGGAACGGGGTAGGTCTTCCTGGGCATGGCCGATGGGCTGCGCCCCAGCCTAGGGGCTTGGCATGGTGGTGTTGGCCGGCCTGGGCAGGCACTGGGCTGTGGTGTTGGAATGAGCCCAGGAGGGGAAGGAGTGCAGGCTGAAGATGGTGATGCTCCAGCTGTTGATGGCCAGTGTGATGACCAGGACTCCAATGATGTTGAGCAGGAATCCCGCCCGGGCCTGGTGTGAGGAAAGTCCATTTGGCTAAGCAGGGGCTGGGCCGGACTGCCCCCAAGTCCCCAGGTATTTGGGGGTGCACAGGAGCCCTCCCACCAACAAAATTCTCTCTGGGAAGTTCTCCCTTTGGTCCAACCTGCAGCATAGCCAATGCCTTTGCCCCTTGCTTTACTCCCAGTGCTAACAGGGAAAAGGGACACTCCTGAGCTTCCAGGGCCCTGGGCTTGTTCTCTCTGAGCTCATCTCCCTGAGTGTGGGTGCCTGGCATCTTGGAGCCTTCCCCATATTCCCCACCCGCTTCCCTCCCTCTCACATAGCCTGGGGCTGGCAGGGCCTGAAGATGCCACCACTGAGCGGTCATGTCCCAACCTCCCCCACTGCACCTTCATCCCAGATGAGGGCCCGCTCAACTCTGAGACTCTCAGTGGCTTTAAGCTGCTTTGTGATTCACTAAGATGGAAAGTCAGAGCAGGAAGGAGGGATGAGGCATTCAGGCCTCCCTGCCACTCACCATATCCAACACTTTGATTCCCCCGAAAGAGAAGACGATGGCATTGGGTGGGGTGGCCACAGGCAGCATGAAGGCCAGGGAGGAGGCCAGAGTGCAGGGGAGCATGACGTAGAGAGGGTGGAGGCAGATGGCCTGGGCCTGGAGTGGGAGGCAGTGGGGCAGAGCTGACCTTGGTCCCCATCCTGGAGGGAGAGGCATGGCCCCCAACCAATTATCCTGCTTCTCTGGGGGACAACCCCTGCACCCCAGTACGCTCTCTGGTCATGAGCCCACCACTTCTCCCAGAAGGCACTGGGTGACCTGGGAAGGGCCTCTTGACCTCTCTGGAGGGAATGAGTGTGCTGCCCTGCCTTGTGGGGTGTGGTGAGGGGAGGGGCCCATAAAACAGATCTCAAAGGGGCTCCGGGGGTGTCATCAAAGGCTGTAGGAACACGTCTGGGGAGGAAGGGGCTTGGGACGCTTCGGGGAGCAATTTCACCCCGTCACCCCAGGAATGATCAGAACAGGGACTGGGGTGGGGACGTGGGTGAGGCCACGAGGATCCCCATCAGGATACTCCAGAGGTGACGTCACGAGGGACGGGGTGAGTCAGGGGCCAAAGTGCCTTGGGGCCCAAGGTGGCTCAAGAGCCTGGGGAAGGATGGAAACTCAGGGGTCCTCTTCAGGAAAAGGAAAAGAGGAGGTGCAAAGACAGGATACTCTGCCCAGCAGGCAGAAGCCCCGGTGGGGCAGGCTGGAGGACTACCTGGAGGAGGTGTTTCTGAGGGCCAGCTCACCATGGAGGCTAGGATGGGCAGGAAGATCGTAGTAGTGGCCACGTTGCTAGTGCACTCAGTGAAGGTGGCCACCAGGAGGGAGAGGATGACCCCAATGGCTGGAGTTGGCACACTCTGCAGTGGGGTCAGCTTGTTTCCCAGCCACTCTGACAGGCCCGATCGCTGTGGGCAGAGGAGGATGGTGTGTGAGAGGCAAGGCTGCCTGGGCCCCCGAGTCCTCTGCTGAGTCTCTATGAGGCTCCTGCTCCTGCTCACACCTCCCTGGTATTCAGAGTCAAAGACAGCTCTAAAGGGATGTTAGGATCCAGCTAAGACCAAGGGGCGCCCTTTCCTGCTCTTGAAGAACAGCTGGGTGTGGGAAGAAGGGGCAGATGAGAAATTAGGAAAGGGGGCCAAAGGGCCTTCTTGGGAAACCTGGGGCTTGGTGGGAGCAAAAATCTTTGACCGCACTTACTCTTGCCTTTCTGACCTCTCTCAGGAGGTCCCTTGACAACCTTAGCCCTCTTCCTGCCCCTTCCAGTCCAGTGGCTTGGGGCAGAGAGGACCTTGCTCCTCACAGGGAGGGAAAGTTGGGGGAGGACCCTGATAGAGGCTGGAAGAGGCTAATGGGAGGATAGGGACAGTCCACAGGGTCAGAAGAGCTCTGAGGTCTTGCCTTGCCACGTCTGGAATGCCAGGCTGTAAGCTGGGACTTAACCTTGCTCAGTGGGGCCAGTGCCTAGCACAGCACTGGGCACAGTCAGTGGATGAACATGCCACAGACCCAGGAGTACCCTGCACCAATCCCTGACCTGGGCAGCTGCCTCCTGTTTGAGCCAGAACACTGAGGCCCAGGGATGCCGTGTCAGGGATTTCCCTCTTTTGGATGGAGGCTCTGGGGAAAGATGTTCTGGTCCCCAGAGCCTGGGTGGGTGTGATCATGGTGCCCCCTGGTGGCTGCAGTGGGCGGACCGCGTCAACATAACCCCCAGTTACTTCAGTGCAGATGCTATTGCGTGCTCTGTCTGGCAGGGGGCAAGGGGCTGGGGTGGGATGGCATTTGTCTCTGAGAACAGGCCCCGCCCCACCAGAGAATCCTGCCTTCCCTTGGACTTTGAGAACTGAACTAAGGAGAGGTCCCTAGGGCTTGTGTTTCTTCCTCCCACATGGGGGCTCTAGGTCTCCCCAGCTGCTGCAAAGGCTCTGCCCACCTGAGAGGCTCCTACATGGGAACCAGGTCTCCCCTCTGTGGGACAGAAGCAGGGCCCCCTCTCTTCCTGCCACAGTCTCCCTCACACAAGCTAAGGAGGGGGCTGGGGGCCTCTTACCTCACTGCCCTTGGCCAGGGCATAGCCACCACCCAGCAATAACACGATATTCCACGGCATCTTCTGGTTCGCTGTCTTCCAATCGAGGAGGCCAAGAGGGGCCTTCAGCTTCCCTGGGTTTTCTACTCCCCAAGCAGAGAAGGACGGGTCACCAAAGAACAAACAGGCCTTTCCCCTCTCCATCTGGGGGCTCCCTGTGTGGGTCCCTTTTGGAGCTTAATGCATGTAGGAGGGGGGACTCTCAGTTCTGCAACATCTCATCTTTGTCCCTGAGTCTCTGTGCCCTTGGCAAGTCGTTCCAGCCTTTCTGGGCTTTGCCTACTCCTACCAAGTGTGGTGGAAGGTACATTACATACTTGAAGGCAGGGGCTGCCTGGAGACCCTTCCCTGCCCCAGTCCAGGTGCTTACCTGGGTCCTGGGTCAGCCCTGGGAACTTGGAGGGTATGATGAACATAATTACACCGATAAAGATGGCCACTGTCCCATCGGACACCATGCTGTTGGTGGGGGGACAGGGAAGGCTGGGTTAGCAGCTTGGGGTTGTTCAGGGCCACAAGGTGGAGGGTGGTGGAGAGGAGCCCCTCCCATAGACAAGCCTGGGGAAACTTCATCCCCCACCAAGTGTTACCTCCTGTTCTGCAATGGGGGCCCTACACCCTTTCCTCCTCCCTAAGCATGTAAGTCCCAGATGTGTCCTCCTCCCATCCCCTGCAACTCTCACCTCTCCCCCGTGGCATTGGGAAAAGCGAGGTTGCCCCAGCCAAGAAAAAACCCCGGCTCCCGGGTGAACCAGAGCAGCACCAGAATGACGAACAGGACACTGATGGCCTTTTCTGCAAAGGTCATGGGGCCCAGCAGCCTGTGCTCGGTCTGGATGATGCCATAGGCTGCTTGCTGTTGCTCCTGCATTTTCTCCCCAGTGCCAAAGTTCTTCCGGAAGCTGCAGGCAGAGGGACGGGGCAGTTTGTGGGGGGCCTGCTCCAGGCAGGGAGCAAGGGGCTCTGCGTGCCTATGATCTAAAGGCTGAGGCCCAGAGAGGGCATCTCAGGGTCACCACACTCAGGTCCTGGCTCCACCTGAGGTTCTGGAGGAAGAGCAGAAGACTTTTAGGGGTCATAGTTCTTGCTTATTCCCCATGCTTGGCCCTGCTCCATTGAGCCCCTTTTCTTCCAGGGGTTCTATGGTGCTGAACCCTCCCTTGCCCAGGGTGAGAAAGACCGAGCAGCTCAAACCCTGGGACTTCTTCCAGCCCTGGCTCACAGCTCTCCTCCTCCAACAGCCTTCGGGAAGTCCTCCCTTCCCTCCTTTGCCTGCTCTGGGTATCCCCTGCCAGCCTGAGTCCCACTTGCCTTGTCCTCAGAGGCACAATAGGCTGCAGTCCACTTCCTTCTGCTGCTGACTTAACTTGTGTTGACATTTAACTTTCCACTTGGGTAAATCTCATCCTCCCTGCTGGTCACGCTTCACACATCTTTGACTCCCCCATGGTGTCTGGTACTGTGCTGACCTCTTCTACTACCACCTTGCCTTGTACCAGCCCCCAACTTTAATCCAGCTTCCTTATATTTGCCCAAGTGATTTTTCCAAAGTGCAGGAGCAATGCTTAAAAACTTTCAAGGGCTCTCCACTGCCTGGGCAGGAAGGGCAAATTATAATTAATACCACGGTAACACTCATACCATCACTCCTATCCCATACTCATGGCAGACATCACTAATCAATCACAGACTTGATACTAACTGAGCCTTAGCAGGGTCTCCCATGATTTTCCAACTCAGAGTTCCAAACAGTGACTACCAGGAACCTGGTGGAAGTAGGAATGAAATCTATTTATTACTCTTGGCTTCAAGGACAAGATCCAAACACTTGGGTGGCACATAAGAGCTTCTAGAACCTTCCCCTGCCTACTTCTCCAGCTTCATGACCTGATGCTCCTTTTTGCTGTTTGTGTTTTAGTCCTGCAGAACTAGAGTTCCCTCAAGCACATCATGTCCATTCTTGCCTCTGTGCTTTGTGCAAACTGCTCCTGCTGCCTGGAATGTCTTCACCCATTCTCTACCTGGCTGACTTCTAGTCCTTCAAGATTCAGCCCAGGCATGATCTCCTTCATGGTGTTCTGGAATCTTCACTCACCTGCGCTGAACTAGGCACTGTGTTCTCTGTGCTCCTGCAGCATCTGGGCTTCCCTCTCTCATGGCCCCCACCATATCATCATCCACCTGATGGGCTACAAGGACAGGGACTGTGCCTAGTGTCTTCTAGTATTCTCAGTGCCTTACACATGACCCAGTATACAGTAGGAACACAGCAGGTGCTTTTGTAACTAACCATGCTCAGTGTGTGCTCCTTAAGCACCTATCAAAGGACAGTGGAGCATTATGGGAAGGGGCATCAAGTGACTGGCTTGCAGTCCCAGCACTGACAATCTAGTTGCAAAGCACTCCTGAAGCCTCAGCTTGCGTGTCTGTGAAATGGGATAATACTCTTTACCCAGTAATTTCCTCAAATGGGGGTCCAAGTGCACAGAGGGGACTTGGCAGGGAGACACCTTCTCACTGGGATAGTGATAATATCATTTTCCACATCCGGACCCAACTGGAAGCTCCCAGGGCTGAGGGCAGGGACCTGGGCTTCTCTTACCGACTTTACCACTTACTTGAAGCCCAGGAAGAGGATCTGTAGCCACAGCCAGGCCAGCAGCAGCAAGATGACCATGGTGGGGAAGGCGAAGCTGAACCAGGAGGCGAAGTTCACCACGTTGCCGTTTTGGGGGAAGAGCCTGAAGGAGGAACATGGGCTGCCGTATGACGTTGCCCCGAGAACTGCCCACCCCCATTCACCTCCCAGTGAGTGTGCATATCCCCCAAGGTGGCCCATCCCTTGTCACTCACGAGTTGATCTGGCCTTGCAGCACCAGGTTGGGTGCGGTGCCGGTCAGCGTGGCGATGCCCCCGATGCTGGCGGAGTAGCACACACACAGGCTCATGCACTGGGTGAGGCGGAGATGCTCCTGGCTGAGATGTACCCTCCCCTCCGAAGGAGCAGATGTGACAGGGAGGGCCTGCCCATTATCTGGGAACAGGGGAGAGCCCAGGTGGGGGCAGGTACGGGGCCAGCTCTGGGGAATGTGGCCAGGGCTGCAAGGGCCTCAAAGGCACCTTGTCTGTGAACAGCCCAGACTGGGGCTGGAAGGAGGACAGAGGATGTCTGCAGGCCTGAGGGGCCCAGCAATCCCCAGAGTCTCAGGCTGGGAGCGGCCTCAGAATCTCTCTGATCTCTGATTACCCAAACCACACAGGAAGAATGGATCCTAGACCTTGGACTGTCCACCTAGACTCCAGCTCTCTTCTTGCTATGGTGACCAAGCATCTTGGCTTGCCCAGGGGTGAGGGGATTCCCAACACAGGGAACTTGCCATTTTAAAGAAAGGAAAAACAAATTGGTCACTGTCCTTCTTGCATCTCTTTCTTCTCTCCCCAAAGGCTCCAAGATGACCAGCCCTCGAAACGGACAGACCCTCAGACTCTCTCCAAGAACCAAGGAGTTGGGGCGGGGTCTAGCCTCATTTTTCTCACCAGGTTTGGTTTCCTCCTTCTGGGGACTTGGTTCCTGGAGCTCGAAGGTCGGGTTGTTGCTGCCCTCCTCAAGGTTACTGCTGGCTTGTGAGCTGTGCAGCTGGTCCAGGACGGCATGTGCGATGGGCACCATCATGGCCGAGGTGGCCGTGTTGCTGATCCACATGGACAGGAAGGCCGTGACCAGCATGAAGCCCAGCATTAGCCTAGGGACGGGCAGACAGACACACTGCTGTTGCAGCTTCCCTTCAGGAACTGGGTGCCCAGAACATCTCCTCATCAGGTTCTCCCGTGCTGGTTTGCAGGAACTCACAGGGCAGGCCGCACCCCAACGATGAGGAGGACCCGGAGGGCGATGCGTTTGTGCAGGTTCCAGTGTTCCACTGTGATGGCCACCAGCAGCCCCCCGACGAACAGGATGTTGGAGTCCTTAAGATACTCCATGGAAACCTGGCAGGCGGAGACATGGCTGAGCGGGGGGAAGACCCTGGAGTCTCCCACGTTGCCCCCGAGCTTATGGGATTCAGTCACTGACATTCCCACAGACTGCCATTCCCCTGGGCTCTCGAAACTCGATGGAAATGGTCTCTGAAAAATCTGCCATTTAAAAAAAATTAAATTTAACTTTTTGGAGACAGGGTCTAGCTCTGTTGCCCAGGCTGGAGGTGCAGTGGCACAATCACAGCTCACTGCAATCTCCACCTCCTTGGCTCAAACCATCCTCCCACCTCAGCCTCCCAAGTAGCTGGGACTACAGGCATGCACCACCATGCGCGACTAATTTTTGTATTTTTTGTAGAGATGAGGTTTTACCTTGTTGGCCAGGCTGGTCTCGAACTCGTGAGCTCAAGTGGTCCACCTGCCTTGGCCCCCTAAAGTGCTAGGATTACAAGCATGAGCCACCACACCCGGCCTGGATTATCTACCATTTAATATCAACCAGGTTCCCTCTTCTTGCCAAACTCACTTTATCTCCCCTCGGGAATAATTAATTGGGAGATAATCTACTGTGATTCCATTAATGTTTCAAGCCATGGCCTGGGAGATAGATATTTTAGTGCTGTTTCTCAAAACTAGACAGCGGTTCTCAAAGTATGGTCGCTGGGTCAGCATCATCACCATCTACTGGAACTCGTTAGAAATAAAATGCTTAGGCCCTACCCCACATCTACTGAATCAGAAACTCTGGACCCAGCCATTTGTGTTTTAACCAGCCCTCCAGGTGACCCCGACGCTGTTCAAGTTCAAGAGCCACTGAACTAGAAGTATATGAGTGTGTTAGCTGGCCTTCAAGGCCCCTTTTCTGTGTCACCAGGCCTTCCACCTCCCACCTAAGGCTGGCTCATCACTCCCACTTTGAATGAACTCTCAGCACTAATTCTGCACCCCTCCCCACCCCAGCCTGCAGCCGTCTAGCTGACTTCCTCCTCATGCAGACGCAGGAACCCCTAATCCATGTGCCCTGCCTATGATGAGGCTTCCTTAGTCAACAAGGTCTGAGGGAACCCACCCCCTGGCCTCCCGCATTGCCCAGAACGCTTTCTCCTATGGATGAGGGCTCACCTCAGAGGCATCCATGATGCCCATCATAGGGAACAGGATGATGGGGAAGAGGGCGGTGACAGCCAGGGGCAGGGCTTCGGTGCACCAGAAGAGCGCCATGAGAATGATGGCATATGCACAGTAGGCCTCCTGCAGGTGGGAGGGAAGCAGCAGAGCTGTCAGAGGGCCTGTGTCCCAGAGCCATGCCACCTCCTGTCCCTCAGACAAACCAGGCCATTTGTAACTGCCTTGGGAGAGCCTGTGACACCCATAGCCATCGATTCCCAAGCCCAAGGTCTCATTTCAAAATGTAAATAAAAAACAACGCAAAGCACTCAATATCACCTTGTCTTTGACCTTGGGGAGCCCAGACATTATAAGCCAGCCACTTCAGAAAGTCTGGAGTTGGTTACCAGTCCCCATCCAGACCAAAGGGATTGCAGGGGACCCAGTTGAGGATCCCAAGATGAGATGGGGGCTGCCAGAAAAGGAGCGGGACCTGGGCAACGTGGACCTTTGCCTGGCACCCTGGCTTTCCCTGGCTCTTATCACAAGCAGCAAGAGTATGTTTGTTTGTTGGACATTTAGTGTTTGTTCCCTCTGCTAGGAGTGAGCTCTCCATCAGACAGAGTCGGTTTTGTGGCATCTGGATCTTTGGAGCTCAGGACCCAGCAGGTTTTGGAGCAAATCTTGTCTGAATGAATGAATCACTGGAGAGTTTTGGGAATGGTGGAGAGTCTCTTTTCTAGCAATCCTGGTCTGTCTGCTGCATTACACAACTCCAGAGGAGCAATTTACATTTATAGGCTATGTAAAGTTTCCCCCAAGATGCTTGTGTTGTGCAGGGAATTGTGGGGCAACACTGAGTCTCGTGGGTCTTTGGGTACCAGAAGTCCCCCTTTCCTACATGAAACCTCTAGGTCTAGAGAAGCCTGACCTCAGGCCTGGAAGGGGACCTGGGGCAGGAATGGAGGCCCACCCTCCTTATAGAGCCTCTCCCAGGGCTGGGGAATCATTAGCCAGGAGAGGGCACCCATATCCCCTCTCCAGGGGCCGGGCACCTGCCCTCTCTTTGTTTGCCAAAGGAAGGGGCCACATGCTGGGGTTTGTTGGACAGTGGGGCTGGGGGGCCCCTCCTCCCTTACCCATCCCAATCGCCCCGTCCTTGTCCTCTCCACCTCATACAGGCTAGGCTCACACTCTTAGTACCCTAAAGCTTGGGAAGGGTCCCTGAGGTGGGAGTAGGTGGTGGCCTGGGGGAGGAGGCAGCTGCTATTTAGCAATTCTTAGGAACTTAGTATTGTCATTTTTGTGCTTACATGAAAACATAACAGCCATTAAGGTGGGTGTGGTGGTCCCACCTTATAGATGAGCTCAGAGGGTAAATGGCTTGCTCAAGGTCACAGAACTATCACAAAAAGCGGCAGAGCCTGGATGGAACTCAGATAAGGGATTGGGATTGGGTAACCTTCAAGCGCTACCTAAGAGCACTCCCCTTTTAGTCTATGTGAATGGTGCCCCAACAATTGTGCAGTGCCCAGCTGCCCAGCTGCACATAGCCCCACCAAATCTGTTGGAAGCCAAGCTCTCTTTCCACCAAACTTCTGCTATCCCTCTTCATCCTGGCCATAAACTCATCAGCCCCAGGAGTGGGGCCATTTTGACCCTCAACCAGAGAAGCCCAGCCCCCACCTCCCCCCACAGGATTCTGCTGGTGCCAGTGTTTCCTCACCCGCAATGGCTGAATGGCCCGTTACCCTCCTCCTGGACTAAGGGCAGGCCAGCCCTCCTGGACCCTGGTGTCCTCCACCTTGTCCACCCAGAACTGTCTGGCCAGAGACAAGGGGCGGGGCTGGGATGGCACTCACTCTGCTGAATCAGGAAGAAGTTTCTGTACAAGTATTGGAGGGTGACTGCATGCCAGGCATCATATTCTATGTGCTTCAAACACTTTTACAAGTTGCATTTAGTTGCTCTCAGAGGTAATAACTTCTTGTTCCCATTTCACAGTTGAAAAAAGAAAGGAGTGAATAGAGTTCAAAAATGCCTCACAGTCACACATATAGTAAGTGGAGAAGCCAGGCTATCTGCTTCCCGGGCCCCAGCTTTCACCTGCTACCCTGAGCATGATCACTTGCATTTGAGGGTGTCCTCAGCCTCAGGCTCCCTGTGACCAGTGGATGTAGGGAGAAGCAGCTGGGGCTCTGAATCCAGAGCTATCTTCCCCAGGGCCTGCCACTTCCTGTGGCTGGGCTCTGTTAAGTCATGTCACTTTGAGACCCCGTTTCCATACTCCAAAGGGAGTTGTTAATAATCAGACCAGGTTGGGCATGGTGGCTCACGCCTGTAATCCCAGCACTTTGGGAGGCCGTGGCGGGCAGATCAACTTGAGTAAAGGAGTTCGAGACCAGCCTGGGCAACATGGCAAAACCCAGTCTCTACTAAAAATACAAAGAATTAGCTGGGTGAGGTGGTGAGCACCTGTAGTCCCGGCTACTTGGGAGGCTGAGGTGGCAAAATCACCTGAACCCAGGAGGTTGAGGCTGGAGTGACCTAAGATCATGTCACTGCACTACTCCAGTCTGGGCAACCGGAGTGAGACCTTGTATCCAAAAAAAAAAAAAAAAAAACTCAGACTCGCCTCCATGTGCTCCAGTGTGTGTGATACATGGCTCCCGCCCCTGTATGCCTGTGTCTGTGATGGGTCCCTCTCTATCTCTGGATCAAAACACAAGACCTGTTCCAAAGTTCCATCCAGAAGCTTTTGTTAACCCTGGTGGCTTTGGCCCTGCGTCCCCGTCCCGCCTTCTGGGCAGCCTGTCAAGCTGGAGCACAATTTGCTGACTTGTTCTTCCTGCATCATGAGATTCTTAACTGGGGCATGGAATTCCGAGGATCCGTGAAGTTAAACAGGAAAACTATTTTATCTATTCACTAACATCAAACTAAGGTTGTGAACATAAAATCATAGTGCTATTAATGGTATTATTGGTGACTTGGTCACAGATATTTGATTGTGACTATCAGCTATTAGACACTGATCCAGATAAGTTGTCACAGTTATCTCAGAATATATTTCGACATTCTGTTTACCTCCATCCTTATTTGGAAATTTCGGTAATTATTATACCAACTTTAGATCTTACCTAATGCACCAGCAAGGAAACACATCTATTTCTGGGCTGCAATTTATTTTTCCATATTTTGATACCTGTATTTCAAAATAATTGGTTTATTTGTGATCCCATGCCTTTTATTTTGTACATTTTATTTCTTACTTTTTCTAATTAAAAAAAATTTTTTTAGAGACAGGGTTTCTCTCTGTTGCCCAGACTGGAGTTCATGGTGTGATCATAGCTCACTGCAGCCTCCAACTGCTGGGCACAGGCAATTCTCCCGCCTTAGATTCCCAAATAGCTGGGATTACAGGCATGCACCACAATGCCCAGCTAATTTTCTTTCTTTTTTTTTTTTTTTTGTATTCTTTGTAGAGATGGGTCTTGCTTTGTTGCCCAGGCTGGTCTCGAACTGCTGGCTTTAAGTGATCCTCCCACCTCAGCCTCCCAAGATGCTGGGATTACAGGTGTGAGCCACTGTGCCTGGCCTGTGCATTTCAAAGTAATTTTCTGAAAAGGGCAGAACCAAGACTCAGGGAGGGTTGGGGTTTGAGACTGAGGAGCTGTCAGTGTTCTGAGAGGACCCCTGGGTCAGGTACTCTTGGGCACTCCCTGAAGGCAGAGCCCTAGGGGTCTTTTCTTCTTAGGCACACAGTATATCCAATTACAAGGTCAGTATTCCCAGCTCTAGAAGTGGGGCTTTGGGGATCAGCCTTATCTTTCCAGGTCACTCTAATGCTCTCTGCCTTGCAGCCCAGCTCTATGGAACCTAGGACAGCCAAGCTCAACTGGCAGCCTATGGCATGGGACTCAGCTGGTTTACACGCTGGCCACTGGCTGCTCCCCAGGACTGCTGCACTGCACAAGTCCAGGTCACCATTCTCATATGGAGTTGTGCAAGGCATAGCTTGCACTGCAGTCCCTGGTGGCCCCTCCTGGAGCTCAGAAACTAGCAGGGAAGAGTTTCCTTCTGGTGGCAATGCTCTTCTTTCTGCCTCTGGCCCTGCCTCCTCCTTCCCCAGGTCAGCAGGGTGGTTGTTCCCTAGCTCTGTTTCTTGACCGTAGCAGCTACTCTCCTCTCAGGATCTGTATATGGCTCCTGAGGACAGGGGCGTAGCGTCTTTCTCCTCTGTGATCTAGCTTGTAGCTCTTTTGCAGGTGCTGGCCTGGTCTGTAAAGCCTCCTTTCCCACTGGTGTCATCCCCACCCCCAAGGAAGTCACCCTGTTCAGATCCTTACTCTTCTCCACCCAGCAGTCAATCCCCGTGATTAGAAGCCCACTGCGGGCAGGCCCTTGGCCTCCTGCCTGTTCATCAGCCACTCATTCCACAAATACCCTCTCTGGGCCATGCACCCAGTCCTGCTGGTTCTGCCCCTTGAGTGCTCCCATTTATTTCTCTGTAGCTCTGAAACACTAGCCTGGTCCAAGTCTCAGCAAGACCTCTGCAAAAGCCTCCTTATTCATCTCCCAGCTTCCTCTCTTGACCCTAAAATCCTTTCTCCTTGCTGCAGCCAGAGTGATCTCAAAGCACAAATCTGTTTAATTTGTACTCCCCCTCCCTCAGCACACACACACTCATCTCAAAACAGCTCACATCCCTTTGGTGGCTTCCTAGTGCTTTCAGGAACCTAAGTTCAGGGTTGGTCTGTGCCTCGTATCTTAACACTCTCCCTCTTACTCTCTCTGCTCTGGCCATACCAGCCCTCTGTGGGTTCCTCAAATACTGCATCCTCCCTCTGGCCACAGGGCCTCTGCCCACAATTTCCTCTCTCTGGACCTCTCTTCCCTCCCTACTTTGCTTAGTTGATATCTACTAGTTCTTGAGATCTTAGCTCAAATATTGATTTTTCAGGCTGGCTTCCAGGCGGGGATATAGTTCCCATTTTTCACACTCTAAGTCCCTGTACGTCTTCTGCATAGCACTCATCATAGTCTGCAATTAAACATTTAGTTTTAGGGACTAAATGATGAGTATCAATCTTTGTTGTCAGACTCTACCCTTCAGGGAGCAGGGTGCAAGTCTGTTTCTGCTC